GGGAAATTGATAGCACTGAGTGCTTACACTGTGAAAGAAGGAAGGTCTCAAGTCTCCAATCCAAGTTCTTTCTTTGGGAATCTAGAAGAAGAGAAGCACAACAAACCCAAAGCAGGAACTCGTGTTAGTGACTGTGACAGACCCTTGCCTCGAGCCCAGCATTTGACCCCGTTGAAGAACAGGGTGGCCTCCAGGAGCTTCACCCGTGGATACGGAGACGTTCTCACCCAGGGCCTCCAACAGTCGTGTTGGCTCGCACCTTGTATCCCTGACTTGAATCAGAGCATGTGCACGTTCCCATCAGTCTCCGTGGCAGAGCGTGTCTCACTAGGTGGCTCAGGCCTGCTTTTTTGAATCAGTCACTGTCAGAGGGACAGGAGCATGTGCTGCCCCAGACCAGGCTGCTTAGAGTGTGGTCCCCGAGGCAGCAGCACCGTCCTGGAGCTTGTTAGAAATGCAGGTTTTCTGGCCCCAAAGGAAAAATTCTGGGGGTGGGCCTGCTCCTGGTTGAAGGTTGAGAACCTCTGACCAGGCTATGTAGGATTCAGTCCTCGGGCTAATGCCAGTCACCTCCATTGTGACACAGCAAAGGGAAGAGTGGTAAAGTGGGTGTTTGGGAGACACCATGGCGTTCGACTATGCTTTAACAGCATTCTCCACAGTCTCCAATTACACATGTGCTTGCGTCCTTCTTTGTACAGTCTCTGTCCCCATGACACTGCACTCTGCAGTGACAGGCACTGTGGTCTGGTGGCCACCATAGCCCTGGCTCCCAGCATAGTGCCTGCCTGGTACACAGTCAGCGCTCACTGGGTTCCCGAGGAGGGATGTGGGAGAGGAAGACGTTTGGACGCAGGTCTGCAGCCCCCTCCATCTCTCACAGCCGGGGGCGACGTGTGTGTGCATGCCTACCTCAGCGGACAGCCCCGGGACGAGTCTCAGCTGAGCGCGCTGGCCTGCTTCCTGGTCTACCACTCGGTGCCGGCCCCGCGGCACCTGCCTCCTGTTGGACTGGAAGGTAACCATGGACCCTCCCTTGGCAGAGCCTGCACTGACACTTCTTTTCTCCTGTTATGGTGGGAGGCGTTTCTAGTGAGTCATTTTTTCTAGTGAGGTTTTGGTGGGTGTTTCTTTTTGGAACCTTTTCTGGGGGGGAAAACTCTGAATTTTACACGTGTGTGGACTCTGTTTACATTCAGAAAGGATGGCTTCTTCTTCAGAGTCCAAACACCTGTATGTACTGATAAACTCAGTGTTCACATGACTCTTCTCTCTCAGTTGATTTTTATGAAAGTTAATTTCAGTTGCTTTTTTATTTTGTTTAGTGTGCGTGTGTGTGTGTATGAATAGTTTCCCATTTGGGTTCCTTCTGAAGTACAGAATAGATGAATTTAAATTTTTATATCAAATTGTATTTTACAGTGCATTAGGGAAATTTCCTATTTAAATTCTGTCATTGGGTGATTGTTTTCAGAGGGCAGGATGCCAACTTAACATGACTGTGTCTGAAGCATCCCTGAAACGGGATTGCAGCCCAGTCTCTAGAGGTGTGACTTCCCCCCACCTGCATTTCTGTAGGGAGCACAAGCTTCGCTGAACTGCTCTTCAAGTTTAAACAGCTGAAAATGCCCGTGCGAGCTTTGCTGAGATTGGCTCCTTTGCTCCTTGGAAACCCACAGCCGATGGTTATGTGATCATGTCTGGTGGAAACCTGCCCTGAAACATGACTTCTGCCCGAACCTGGGACCAAACAACAAAGCTAGAGACATTTGTAAGTTTTATAATATACCCAGGGGGAACGGGCTGCACAGCCCTCAGTGTGCTTCAAAATCTGAGTGTTTTCAATATTGCAGAGACTTGGTTGCTGTCGGCTTGACCTATGATCTATAAGTGAGTTAAAATTTACTTATGTAAATAAAGTTTTCTGCTTTGTTTTCAAAACCCTTGATGACTCTCGTTTGGGGTTTCAGAGACTAGAGCAGTGGGGGCTGGGGTGCAGATTGGTTTTAAAGTCTTTCATCTGTGGTGATTCAGGTGAAGTGACTTTATGCTCAAAAATGCAGTTTTTAAAGAAGTTTTTAAAACTTTACTTTCCGCATCAGCAAAAGGGCTTCTAGCGTTCCCTGAGATGTCCCAGCTGTCCTGTCTAAAGTGAGTCTGTACTTCCTGCACTAGTGCTGTTCACCTCAGCATGGTCGCTCACCTCACACAGGGGATTTATGCCCCAGAGAAGACTCGCCTGACATGAAGCCACTCTGAGCAGAGACTATGGGGGCCTCCCACTGTAGACGGGGCTTCTGGAAGTGCCCACTTCCACCTAGAATGTCGGCTGTGCACCTGTAACAGGTTTCTGGACTAGATGATGGTGAAAGGTGACTATGTAAAGGTTCCCCAGCTTGAGGATTCCGATGCAGAAAGAAGACGGCTCCCTGTGCCCTGTGCTTCCTGGATGGCCACGGGGACCGTAAACTGGTAGAAGCTGCAGGATCCATCCAGTGATTTCACATGTTTGTATCTTGAGTTGTGTTTAGCTTTAAACGTAAAAATTAGCACTAGAAACATTTCCATTGAGATTGTGGCAGAAACCCACATGGGCTTTGCCTCCTCAGAGGGGCTGGTGTTTCCCAGGAATGCAGCTGGAGGCCGAGCCTTCTCTCTAGAGCTCGGCGCTCTGCCTGCCCCAGGGATGTGCTCCAGCGTGGCACGCATGGTGAGGTGTGCTGGCCAGGAGGGTGAAACGTGCCACTGTCACACTTGAATAGTTTTTCTTCTCTGAGTAAAAAAGAAAGAAAAAAAAAACCGGTAGATTATAGAAACACCATTGGAATCAGGATTTGAAGGACTCTATCTAGGCAGCAGTGGCTGTATCTTTACTCCTACTTGCTTTTCTCTAATGGAAGAATGCCAAGAAGTCAGTTGCCCACGTAGGAACTCCTGGCGGAGCGAGGACAGCCCTTAGAGTACTGGTAGCAAAGGCAGAAGCCAGGTTTTCTGAAGGGGCACAGCATGACTGCACCGAGGGCTAGAGGTGGCACTGGCTTGTGTGATGGGCTTGCTTATAGCCGTGGGGCCAGGGAACACCCAGGCAGGGTGCTCCTCTGCAGACATGCCAGGATCATTCTCAGAGAATCGGTTCCAGCTACTTACGGGGTCTTGACGAGAGCCCTCACTGTCAAGAGTGGTTCAGCCTCCTCAGAGCTGTGGCAAAGGAAGAGCTGGGGCACATGCCCAGTTCAAGTGGCTCCATCCAGTTCCTGCCTATTGGTAGGAAGCAGTCAAGTCCCTCCGCCTCACATGGCTCCTTCCTTGTATCCACAATGGGGAGAAGGGGACCGGATGCTGGGTAGTGCTCGTAGTGTCTGCCGCAGCATGGCTCCTGACCGACTAATACTCCCCACCCCATCTTTGTGACTTGCACACATGGAAGCTGTGGAATGGCCTCTGTAGATGGCTGTAGCTGAAGGTGCAGTCTGGTTGTTGTTTTCCAATGTATGCTGACATCTGTGCAGAGGCAGGGACTTTCGGAACTCAGGCGTGGAGCCAGGTCACAGCAGGAGGGGACTGCTGAGCTCAGCCCACAGAGCTTCCTTGGTGCTGCCCCATCTTACTTAGTCTCAAAACCAGCCACGCCATAGTTTATGGTGCAGGGCAGGTCCCAGCCCCTTCTGTTACACCTGCACATGACCGGGCAGATCAGGCTCAGTGGACCTGTGGTGATCCCCAACCCCCCACCCTGCCCAGTGTCCCTCCCAGTCTCTCAGTTTTACTTCCCTGGTGTCAGAATGACAGTTGCTACTGTCATTGGAGGCCGTCTGCTCTGTTCCTCCCTAACCCCCCATTTTTAGCTCCTCTAAACAATTTAAGGATAATCTCTTATAAACCAAATCGAGCCGGGTTTTGCTTTGGAGTCAGTCCGAACTTTTTTTACTAGCGAGTTCAGATTTATTAATACAAATGACATGACCGATTTCAGTTGTGTCTCCATTTTACATTATGTTTAGTGTGTTTTTTATATTTACTGTGTCTTTGTTTTGTCTGCTTGCTTTTTAAAAATTGGTATATTCATACACTTAGTGGTTAGGATGGCTCACGTTACTATGAGTACAATTAATACCCACATCTTCATAGGACCCCTTGGACCCCTCTTGTTTCCAGCTCTGGTGGCTCCCTGAGACCTCCCACCTGCCCCCAGCACCCACTTGTGAGTCCCTCCCTCTGTCTCTCCCTCTCTTATTCTGCAGTGTCGGAGTGTAAGGTGCTACCCCTGTGTCAGCCTCGGATGGACACCAGGGTGCTCTGGTGGCTGACGTTCCCCCCATCTGTTCACCAGCCAGGCTGCTTCATGGGTTGTCAGGAGGTGTGCCGAGCACAGCTGTCCCCAGGGGCTAGACCTCAGGTCTCCTCTGGTCAACTCCTCTTCTCAACTTTTCTGTGGCCTCTTCCCGTCATTTCCTTGGCCTCTTCCGGTCATTCCTTTGTCCTCTTCCAGTCATTCCCTTGGCCTCTTCAGGTTCCTTCTCCTTGGTGGTCCAGATTTTGTCCCAGACTTCCCGTCCTTTCTCCCTCTGCCCGTCCTCAGTCTCCACAGAGCCTGCTACTCTGGTCCCCTTGTCCCCTTGGGACCCCTTCCATGTTACTGCTAGACTCTCCAAGACATCCAGGGGTCAGGGGCCTTTGTTGGCTGACACGTACGGGAAAGTTAGGGGCTAGTGTGCCATGGGTTCCTGTCTATCAGTCCTCAGGTCTGAGGAAGCTGGAGGTCCCATGCTAGGGAGTGGAGGGGGGCGTGGGAGCCGCAGGAAATGGAGAAGTGAGGTCAGTTGACCCCTGCCTTTTAAGGGGCTCAGGGCAAGTCGTCCATCATGTTTTTGAGTGACCAGATCTCAGTGGGCCCCAGTCATAGCTGTCTTTTTGTTTATTGTGGTAAAAGTGCTCTTCTCTTGGAATTCTGAGATTCCATATGTATATAGCCATTCTTGGTCTGCCAGTGAAAAGCCTGTGGGTGAGTTAAACTTCGTGGCAGCGTGGTAGTCTCCATGCTCAGCTGGCAGTACAGCGGGTGACTCGGGCTCAGGCTTGAGCTCAGGTCTCAGGGTTACCCCAGCACAGCCTCTGCCACGGGAGGGGCCTCTGTGCCTTGACCTCCAACTGAGTCCGGGATCAAACCTAAATTTAAACCAAAGAAAAGACATTCTGAAGTGACTCGAGGGAGGCGGTCATTTGCTGTAGGCATGTTGTCTTGTGCACTTCCTCACAGTTCTGCTGTGCCCTTGCTTCTTCCGTCAGCAGTCGTCTTCTTTCAGAGGCTAGAGAGCCCTCTGTCCCTGACACAGCCTTCAGGGGCCCAGTTCAGGGTAGCTCGCTTCATGTGCTGACGTGTTGGACTTTGTCTTTCCTTGGGGCACACTTCCCTGCCCCAAGAGTCTCCACGATCACCATCCCTTTTCCAGATAGGATGACCTCAGTGTTTTTCAGCCTAGGAGGTGACTGCAGGGCACAGAGGTCTGGCCACCTGACCCTGCAGAACCCCTTCTTCACATTCCCCTGGACAGCCTGTGGCCCCTACACCTGCATTCTCCTAGATCACCTGCCACCCCCACACCTTCACTCCCCCGGACCACCTGCTGCCTTCACACCACACTCACCTGGACCACCTGCTGCCGTCTTATCCCCTGGGAACCTAGGGGGCACGCTGGCTCGCACAGCTCCAGACCCAGTGTTGTGGGCTCTGGGCCTGGATCTGAATGGGAAGCACTGGAGTTCCTGCGGGAGGGCCCTGATCCAGCCTGGGTGGCCCAGCCTCCCTCCCCATTACCTCCTGGCAGTGCTCCGGGATGACGTAGGCTCGATGCCCTGTCACCTGGAAGCACTCCGCCAATAGCCTTAGGAACTCCTTGTAGAGCCAGAGTCAGTGCTCCTTGCCCAGCAGGGACTGGAAGGTGCTGGAGTTGGACGTGGGGCCCTCCTCCTGCACATCTGAGGCGATATAGCTGTCTGGAGTCAGGGAAACCTGTCCTGGTCCCAGTGACGACTCTCAGCCTCAGGGACAGCCAGTGCCCGGGCAGTGTGTCCATGAGAGGGTCGTGGCCGGGGGGTAGCAGGACCCTCCTCAGCACAGAGCCTTTGTGGGCCGTGCTATGCCCAGCCCAGCCTAGGCTCTTAGCTCTCGCCATGTCCCAGTTGTGTCCCCTGTCACTTGTTTTGGTAGCAAGGGGGGCTTCCTGGCTACTCCCCTCACCTCTTACTCATGGCCCTTTTTCCTCATGACCAAGCAACTCCTGATGGTTATGTCTTCTCCATGGTTAAGGGGAGCTACTGCTTGGGCCCCTGGGCATGGCCAGTGGGATTGGGGGAGATCATGGGGGCTGACTGGGGTCAGGTCCCGAGGAAGAAGTGGATCCTGTTGTAGAGGTGTCTGGGCTGCCCAATGCAGCTTTTCCACATGGACAACAGGTACTGTGGCACAGGGCACAGGGTCTGGGTGCCCCAGGGTCACAGGAGGGTGGAGAAGGCACTTCGGTACCTGCCCCTTCCTCCCCTCAGCATTGGTGCTGTGCATGTACCTTGTCAGACAGGAAAATGTCAATTTCCAGGAAATTGGATAATGACCCTCTGTAAAGGAAGGTAGAGGGGTGAGGGCTGGAGCAGCCCTCCTGGGAGGTGGAGTCGGTGCGGAGGAGCACATGGACAGTCAGAGGGAAGGGGACTGGAACCTTCTCCCAGGCCATCTCGTGGCAGTAGAGGACTGAGCGTGAACACAGGGATGCTGCTGTTCCTGCCACCGGCGCAGGCAGAGTGGGCCTCCACCGGGCACGGACTGTGCTGATGAGTGTTTGCTGCAGGGATGTGGTTTATTTGCTAAGCTCAACAAATCAGCCTCCCCAAGACCCGGTTGTGGCTGGGTCTCTGGGATGCCACATGCTTGTCATTTCGTCATGCTT